TCCAGTGAGTTGGATTTTATGTTAAAATTTTAGAGCCTAACTCATTCGGCAACCTGACCAACCTGATTATGTGTTTAATCGACTAGTATTTCAAAAATATAGTTTTTGTGTTTAAAATTGTAAACCGGCTCGCATGCTATTCCTTGTCTGCTTGACTTGGTCAACTCTTAGTTGGATTTATGTGAACTCCCATATGTGTTTGGTTGAGTATAAGTGCCAAGTCTAAGTGTTCCAATGTCCACAGACTTCACGAACAACTTAGTCAAATCAAGTTCGACTAAGTCTGATTTGTGTTTTCCATTTAAAGTCAAGATAGATGTTGATTGTAGCACCTTGACTTAATGTAGGTAATTGAGGAGTCCATCCTGGACCTACTTCCATTGCTTGTGGAGTTATTTCAATCCGGAAATCCAGGTGGGTTAGTTATTCTAAAATATCTATGCATATGTGTTTTAAATGTGTTAAACCGGTATGATCTATGTATGCATGTGAACATTTAGCCTATCGATGTGAGATTGATGGCCATCGATACGGTTGTCCCCGTCGATGTAATACGATTACCCTTACGAGGTAAATCTCCTTAAGTCCTTTAGATAAGGCCGTGTCCTCATGTGGTACGCACTCCCGTGTCATATATGTGGCACGGCTGAGCGTAAATGTGCACATGAATGAGCCATAGATGTGGCTAGAGTCATAGCTGTGACTAGAGATGAGACATGATATTATTATTGTTTATGTTCATGCTGCGACCATATCATCCTAACATATTCTGAGTTGTTCATATGCATAGTGTGGGTACAATATTTTCCAGCTGTACTCACTCCCATCTGCTCTTCACGGATGCAGGTTAAGCAGTTGACAGGTGACGAGGCAAGACGAGTGGGTGGTCTTGCTCATTATTGATTATTATTATGCTTCCGTTTATTTATGCTCGTTTCATTGACTTGGATTTTTCTTTCCTGCTTGTTTTGGGATAAATTGATTATGTCGTTGAAACCTCAGATTATGTTTTGCTTTCATGGTTTTTGGAACTTATTGAATGCTAGTAAAGTTTTATAACTATTAGTCATGCATGTGCCAATTTTATCTGAGATGATTGTATTTCTGATTAATAGTTCATGATAGTTAAGTAGCGGCCACTGAGTTTTAAATTAAATTGAGATTTGTGAAAAATTAACTCTGGTTTTTATAAATAAATTCGATAAATCTTCTAAAATAAAGTGGGGCGTTACAAGTTCATTTATTCTTTATTATAATCTAGATGCCTTTGCAAAAAGAAGCCCTAAAATAGTCTGCTACAAATCTGTATATATATAAAAAGGTTTGATTATTTTTTAAATAGTAACTATTTCCCTAAAAAAATCTATTTATTATTTTGGGAAATTAATTTAACAATTTATGGTATATTTCAAATGATCACTTATGAAAATTGTGGCTCATTATTTAAGGAAGTAATTAATCTATATTCATATTTTAAGATACATTAATTACTCAATGTGAGTCAATTAATATATGGTATATATTGTCTAAGGAAGTAATTAAGTCATATTTTAAGATGCATTGATTACTCAAATAATGTGAATTACATGCGAATTAATTAATATATGGTATAAAGTAGATGAATTTATTTTTGGTATTGATGGTTGTTTCTATGAGAAATAAATTAATCAATATATGGTATAAAGTGAGTAAATTTATTTAGGTTATTTGATGACTGTATTTTTGTATGAAATTTCACATCTATACTTATATTAAAAGGTATATCATTTACCCGATTTAGTATAAAGAAAAGTCAACAGCATTTATTGCATTACTATTTCCGTATTATATAATCTATACTTATATAAAAGGAGATTCTATTTACTACATTTACTATCCAGAAAAGTCAACTGCATTAAATGCCATTACTATTTTGGTATTATAATATTTTATTTATTTAATTAATTTATTTATTTGTTTTATTTTAAAAAGGTAAGTATAATAAAAAGATTTTAGTAATAAAAAAAATCAAATACCAAATAAAAATGTACACTTTGACTTATTTGATTATATTTGGTATTTGATTATACCAAATATATTCCTATTTAGTATATACATTAAATACTTACTAAAGTATTTATTTGTTTTATTTGTCAAAGTTAAGTATAGATTTGTTTATATTATCAAATTATAAAAAAATATTAAATCCATATTGTAAAAAAAAAAAAATCATATAATTTTATAACAATTCTACTACACTATTTAACAATATTTCTTTTTTATTATATAATAAAATAATAATTAAATATTATATGGTGAACAACAATAAGTAAAACTGTTACTTTCTCTTATATCAAGGGATAAATTTATATGCTAAAATTAAATTTTTATTAGTATAAATGTTTTAGTGAGATAATATATTAATTATTTTACAAGCTAGCCCTAACATGCTCATATTTAATGTTTTAAAAGATGTAAAAAAAAAACTTATAATAACTCTATTGTTTTTTAGACTTAAACGTTGATTAAAAGAGGTAAAAATTCCTAATTTTTTAGACTTAAACGTTGATTAACACCATAGATTGAGAGTTTATATTTAGTAAAATTCCTAATTGTAATAAAAAAATTAATTTTTGCTATATTTTAGAATATCTTTAAATTCATTATAAAAAAAAAAAGAAAAAAAAACTACAATGAAAAAAGCAAGTCAGCTATATATCGATTTGTTGTACTCCTCAAATCACATTCACAATTTGGCTACAAGGAAAGGAAACTCATTGATTAAAATATTATTTTGTCAGTAGTCTTAATGTACAAGAGACTTTAAGACTCCACTTGAATATTATAAAACTTTTATTGAACATTGTACAATTTTCTTGCGTATTATAAATTCTTATTGAATATTGCATCTTATAATATAATATTCTCCAAATAAATATATCTCGTGCTTCGCACGGGTCACGTACTATATATATCCCGTACATTTTTCTTTATTCATGTATATAATTATAAGCCTGGATAAATAGCCTTAAAATTGTGCACCCCGTGCGATACTAGTTTGTTGAAAAACTACTCAATATATTATGTAATTTCTGTAATCCGCGGGTCAATATATTGGTTTCTAAGCGTGGGTCTTATTGTTATTTTAATTTTTTGTATAAAATTAACATAATAAAATTACCATAACTCCGAAAAAATAATATGAACGGATATTTTGATATAATGTGCGTGTATCGATGTTTTTTGTAGAAAAAATTTTGGTCAATTTTTTGTGTGAACTGCACTGTTCATTTTTTTTAGTATGATAAAGACTGTCTATTTTTTGGCATAAAAAAAATTTTACGACGGATTGTTTTTACTCAATTACTTAAATTTTTTTATTTGGATATTTTATGAAAAATAAATTTATTTTAATTAATGATACAATATAAGTTTTATATTTATACCTATTATTCACACAGGTTTTTAAATATATGATTAAATTTTACCAAAATGATTATTTTATGGAATCACGTTATAGTCAAATAGAATTTCTGAATAAAAATTTTTGAAATGTCACATATTTTGAAACGAATATAATGTAATTTACTATCTGTTATGTGCAGCGCACGAGTTGTGTACTAATTTTAACTAGATATTTTATGTAATTTGCACAATTTAAATTTTATATTACATTCTTAATAAATTAATATAGTTACATCGTATTACATATTGATTTCATGTATTTTATTTATAAATATTATTTAATAAGAATTTTTAATATATAAACATTAATGAATATCTCTTACCCGTGCATCGCACGGGATTTGTACCAGTTACTAAATAAGGCAACTATCAATAAGAGGCCAATAAATTGATTTAATTCTTTCTAGGGGTCGGCAAAAAACTCGAAATTTCCCATACCGCGGAAAAAAATGGTCTCGTTCCGAAAAATAAGGTTACGAATGGTTTCCTTTATTTTTGTACCGTTCCCGATCCCAAACCGTTTTAAACAATGTCGGTATTGGTTGTGAATATTTTTGTCACGGACCGTCCCGTTTGTCCCGTTTCATTAATTTGTACAAAACATTATATATATTTATATACTATACACTATTAGTATATTTTATATTGGTATTATAATACTAATTATATAATAAATAATAGATGATTACATATTAGATTCTATTTGGGCATTCCATGAATCAGACTTCATTAGGCATTCTGAATTCAGAATTTCCAATATTAAAAGCCCAGGCCAAAAAATAAACAATTTGGCCCAAACAATTAACTAGACAATTGTCCCAAATGTGAGATTACTTACGGGACTTCACTGAAGAGCATTGAGCAAGCTGCCAAGCTGACTTTTTACGTTTCAGAATTTTTCACAATCACAAACGATTTCACATTCTTAAGTACCAAATTTCCAAATCGACAAATCCCTATCGCGGCATCGCCATTTTTTTAACTTCAGTTACCAAATTCACAACATGTTCTAAAACACCAAATCCAAAATCCCTAATCACAAAATCAAGAACCCTAATTTCCAAATACTATGGACAAAAGTAAATCCTACGTCTCATCTCCGGAAATTCATGTGATTGGAAGGTATGAGAATTAAAACACCACCAGCACCAAGCAGTCTTCAATTACCGTGCATGCGGTGCTGCAACCTGCAAATATAAGATTATTGTGATGATTGAAATTAGGGTGTTTTCACTTTGAGCTTTGGAGTATGTTTCATGTTTGTGATGATTGTAATGGAATTAATAGAATCAGACAATTCATACTCTTTGTTAGTTTCTTTAGAAAGACATTGTTTATGTTAGATATGTTGTTTAAGCAGTGGCGAAACCAGGATCCCAGCACGGGGAGGGCCCAATTTGTCTTCAAAAAAAATTTTCACGACAAAACCAAACACAAACACAAAAATAATTGCAAACTATTTAAATTATTGTTCAAATAATATTATACAAAATAAAAATACAATCTAGCTTCCAACCAAGGGGGAACTAATAAGAGGTATAAAATAAAAATACAATCTAGCTTCCAACCAAGGGGGAACTAATAAGATCGGCACGCGGTAACTGAAATCTTCGGGACGCCATGTTCTGAAATCTCTGCAAAATGACTTCATTTTCAATTTTGATAAAGATTTCCTTTTCAATGTAGCACACCAAGCTATCCGTCAAAAAATCCTCTCCCATTTTGTTGCGCAAATCATTCTTGATAATCTTCATCGAGGAGAAAGCTCTTTCAACAGTAGCAGTTGCGACGGGCAAAACTAGTGCCAACTCAATGAGCCGATAAACTAACTTAAGAGCAGTGTGCCACTTTCTCTCAACCATTCTTTTTGCAAGGTTTCCAATACTTTGAAGATCAGAGAAAAATGCACGCTCATGTATTGTGACTATCGAGATGTAGTGATTCAATTCTTCTTTCAGTTTGAACTCATCATCAAAATCATTTGGATATAATTGAGCGAGACGAAGCAGTCTTTCACGATCAAAGCTAGCGAAAGAATCTCTAGGATCAAGACAGACTATGCACGAAATAAGTTCCGTACTCAACTCTCCAAAACGATTAGCCATCTCTTGTAAGATAAGATCAACAACCTATTAAATTGAGAAAAATAAGCTAATTATTAACACTATAATAAACATAAAAAAATGTTAATATGAAATTAAAGAAAAATAGTTACCGGAAGAAAGATGTCTCGTCGAAAAAAGTGCAAATAAGTCTTTGGTTGGTCATCCACTCGTCTTTTAGATCTAGGCCGACCCGGTAAATGATCTTCCATATTAGGCACCAAAATGCCTTTTTGAGAACAAAATTCCTTGACGGTTTCAAGAAATTCCTCCCAACCATCCTCCCTAAACTTCCCCAAATCTTCCTTCAACGTTCTAATCAAAACGAAGGCTTTACCAATATTTTGACTTTTTTCTTGTAAGGCCGCCGAAAGTACGCTTGTTTTTGCCAATATTGTCACCAACAAATAAGCAATGAATACAAATTCAAAAGTTGTTGATTTAGCAATCAAACCTCTAGCAACGCCTCGACTTTGGAAATCTGTGGCTTCACTCTCAATAGTATCAAGAACGTCTTGTACCGCATCCCACATTTCCAACATCCGCTTGATTGTCCTATAGTGAGATCCCCAACGCGTAGCACCCGGTCGAGCTAAACTTGTTTCTTGATTCAAGCCGGTCCCCGTAGAAATCTCACCACTTTGAATACGTTGTACAAGGTCATCGTAATGCTTTTGTCGAATAGCATCCATTCTTTTACATGAAGCTCCAACAAGATTCACAATCCTTACAAGATAATCCATAAAATCACTCACACACGTGTTCTCTTTTGAAGTTGCTACAACCACTAATTGAAGTTGGTGAGCAAAACAATGAACATAGTATGCGTGTTTATGTTCTTGTAAAATAAGAGTTTTAAGACCATTGAATTCACCTCGCATGTTGGAAGCTCCGTCGTAACCTTGACCTCGAAGCCTAGAAAGTGACAATCCATTTCTTGCAAAAAATTCATCAATTGCACCTTTTAGAGAGTGTGCCGAGGTGTCACTAACGTGGACCACTCCCAAAAATCGCTCGATCACTTCTCCCCGATCGTTCACGAATCTCACGACGACGGCCATTTGCTCCCTTATTGAACTATCCCGAGCTTCATCGATCAAAATAGAAAAGAACTTGTCTCCAATTTCATTAATAATGACTTTCCTCACCTCTGTAGCACAAGCATTGATGATTTCTTTCTGAATTTTTGAAGAAGTCAACTGATTATTCCCGGGAGCATTCAAGTTCATGACCTTCTTCACTTCTTCCTTCTCCTCACAATACCAATCCAAAATTTCAAGAAAATGACCTTTTCGTATTGAATCTTTTGACTCATCATGTCCACGAAATGGCAAACCTTCCCCTAAAAGCAATCGAACAACTTTCACAACCGCCGTTAGCCGAACGCGGTAGTCAATCTCCATTTGAGTGCCCTTTTGTGATAACACATAATCCACATTATGCCTTTGGTCTCTAAATGACGAACACTGAACCATAGCATTACGATGTGGACTGTTTAAACCCCCTTCATGCTCCTTGAATTTATTTAAAGCATTCTTCCAATTTTTAAAACCAACACCAGTAAAAGCATCATCTCCACAACGAGTATTAATCCTTTTAAACAAATAACATACTTGACAAAAAGCGGCATCCTTTTGAATACTATATTCGAGCCAATCATATTGCGTAAACCATGCCTTTTGAAATGATCTCATATTCTTACCAAAATTAGACTTCTGAAAATTGTGATCATGTGGTTGAAAGGGACCTTTTGCCAAGTATCGTCTCCTCAATTCATCTCTAATAGCAAAAGGATAATCATCAATAGGTTTTCGCAATCCCGGATCACCAACAATGTCATCTTCCGTCAATTCCACTTCTACTCGTTGTCTTTTGCCACTATCTTTATCATTCAAATCCACATTACTTGATGAAGATGAAACCGGCTTCTTCCATTTGGATACAAACTTATCCATTGTCAAAATTCAAATACCTAAAAATAGTAAAACAAATCAATAATTAAAAATATTACAACTACAATTTACTATATAGAATAACAATTTAAAATAAAAACTAAAGTGACTAATTACTATCAAGCTCAATTAAGAGTCGGTTTGACCTAAATCTAATTATCCAGCAGGACCGCTTAAATCTCTTTATTTAGTTGGTGATTGACTACATTTGTAAAACCGAAAACATAATCTGGTGGATTAATTCCATTTTTTGCAACTTGCATCTAATTATGAAAATTGCCCACACATTTCTCCTCTTTCATTATTAGCTAGCATCACATTATTATTTTTCTCAAAACAGTTGGCTGTAAAAACAATGAATAAGTTGATGTGAGCAATATTCTAGAGTCTAAAGGTTAGACAAATAAAAAAATTTCAGTAGACCCATGAAAAAAAAAAATTATAGAATCACAGTTCATGCATAATCAGTGTACTCCAATTCGCCCTAACTACGCACAAACGACACAACAAATTACTGATAAACAAAAGTCTATATTTAAAGTTTAAAAAAAAAATGATATGAAATTATGAAATTGAACATAAAACACTTACATTAGAACTAAAGGGAGAAATCTCGATCAACCGTCCTTGAAAATTGAGAAGAAATTTTCTTTCGGACAACCAATTTTGAAATTAGGGCAATTTTTTTTTTTCTGAAATAAAATTGGGGATCTAATCTTCACAAGACTTGTGAGTTGTGAAAGTAACTTTTTTTTCTTTGCCTGTGTATGTGTACCTGCGTCTGCGTGCGTGTGGGGGTGACAAAACAAGGAATTTTCTTTTTTTTTTTTAAACCTTTTAAGTTAAACGTTTGACTTTTCACTTTTTAATTAAATGGAAGCCAAAACGATGTCGTTTTTGCAAGATGATTAAAAAAAAATTCCTCCCCAATTCATCTTCTTCCCTGCGTGTACAGCTCCATGTTTTCCATTTTTTGCCCAAAATTTCTATTAAAAGTTGAAATAGCTTACCTTTAGCAGTAAAATTTCATCCTGGCGGCATCGGAAGGGCGCTCAAAGGGTGCCCTTCCATTTCCAGCAATACCTCCCTAAACCTAGTTCAATAATTTTTTTTTTTTGGGAGGGCCGGCGCCACTCCGGCCCTCAATGTGCTTTCGCCCCTGTGTTTAAGTGAATCAATATGTCATTGGTTTAAGTGGACTTTGGAGTTTGAAGTATGTTTCTTTTAGTTTAAATACAAGCAGTACTTAATAGAATCGGACTATCAGTATTACTTTGGTTTAAGTGAACTTTGGAGTATGTTGTTTTAATGGATATTATAAAGCAATATTCAGTACTCTTTAGTCTTTGGTTTAAGTGAATGACAGTATGTTTTGAACTTTTTATGATATTAGTATGTTCATTGTTTGTTTTAATGAAATTATTACTCTTGGGTTGAGAA